CTGTTGTTCTGTTTATTATAACTGTTGTTCTGTTTATTATAACTGTTATATTTACGGGGCCTCAGACTGGCTGCCCTGTCTGTCAATCAAGAGACTCGTTTCATAGATGATGCTCGGCTGACGTCTGGTTTCAATGCATCTACCCAGAATCCTTTAAGGTCCACTGGTAGCTCCCCATCGATGTACTGGGCACCCTGCTGTAGGACAACGTGCCTCTGCACATGCTCAGTGTTTTACATGAGACCTGCGTGTGTTCAAGGTTTGTTACATTTTGTTAATCTTTGTGTCCACAGGGCGCTTTGCATCAGCGACAGATTACCAGCTGGCACTTCGACGGACGGGGAACTCTGACTTCCAGAAGACATCCTTTACATCCACCCATGGTCTCTGATCTTTCTCCTGTTTGTGAGAAACGTCGTGTTGTGATGCTGGCAGAACCAGCCTTCACTCTTGTTTGCATGTTGTGTGTGAGCGTCAATAAACAGGTGTTTACACGTGGAAACCTCATGCTGCTCTTTATTTCTTTACCAGTCAACAGTGTAGTGTTGACCTTCTGGGTGGAGTTCATGTTTTCTATCTGCAGGCAGCCTTCAGGTGCCGTCGTTCAGGTTTGTCTCGCTCCCTCCTGCAGCGCGGCGTCCACCAGCCGCAGATGCTCGTTAAGGGAGTTCATCTCCAGCTGGCTCCGCCCCCTCGCATCACTCAGCTTCATGGAGGCCTCCTTGTAAAGCGTGTAGGCCGCCTCCTTCTCCTGGATCCAAGACAAACGTGATATTTTACACACGTGTCCAAACGTTTGAACTATTTGATTAATTGAACGATGCATGAGAGGATGACCTCGGTAAGAGACTGCACTTCACTTTGTAGGCAGCTGATTTCTGTTTTAAGGTGCTGCACCTCGTGTTCCTTTGCTCTCACCAGCGTCTGAAAGAAACACAGTTTGAGCTGTTTCCTCTGTGTTCTAGCTCCATGTCCAAAGTTTCACTCTAGTTTCACTCTAGTTTCACTCTAGTTTGACAGTTTGACTCTAGTAATTTGACTGTAGTGTGACTCTAGTTTCACTCTAGTTTCACTCTAGTTTGACAGTTTCACTCTAGTAATTTGACTCTAGTGTGACT